TTCGTATCTACGCTATTTTCACCCAAAATCTCCCTGTCAAGTTGAAAATGGGCCATCCTGTATGATGAAAAGGTTATTAAATAATCAACATGAATACGTGACCAAAATATCAACATGAAGGAGGAAGAAACCTGCAGAACACGATAACTCTGATATCTTGGACTATGGATGATATGGAGGGACTCCGAAAGAATTTTTTCAGATATATCGTAAACCAAGCAAAATTTAGAAAGAAATGTGGTGAGAAAGAAGATAGATAATTGATTTTGTTATTCAATTAGATATTAAAATATGGTCAGTGGCGTACTCAAAAAAAGTTCTATGGATTTTCTCCAATCGGAATGCTGTATATCGATTGCACTGATGAGACATGTTATCTATATATGCACACTTCTTATAGTTGACTGCTTTCCGAATTTCAGAGCATTACCTCTCAAGGATTTTGAAATATTCAATAGAATCTGAAAAAAAAATTCCATTCTTCGACCTCTCACGGCCCAACGGTGTATTTTCGTATAGAGGTAAGTTGGTCCGAATCGACCTATTTTGAACTCTAGTTCACCCTGTTGAATTTAATGTACTTTGTTCTGGGACACCCTGTATATCGTTATAGGTTAATGTATACGGAAGTTCCATCTTTTGCGAATCATTTTTTCACACGTACCTTCATATACGGGATAGAACAAAACCCAGGTTTCTCTCACGGGAATATCCCGACTGTCTTCACAAACAATGCGGGTCTGTCAGTTTCACGGCCTACTTTCGTCTCCCGTTTCCGCAAATTTCGATAGACCACTTCAGCCACGAAGCCACTCCAATTGGTGCTCGAACACCGTGTGAGGTTGAGCATCCAAACAACGTCGAATACCCTGTAGATATAACGCCTCGGAGTGTCTGTTTAGTAGGTGCATGCAGTTTTGTTGGATTCTATCTGAATTGGCTCAGGAAGTTCATATATCCGGGAGCCAACTTGCCCCAGAAGGATACCAGGTATTTTAAAAAAATATGTAAGGGGATGGCACCAGCTATTGACACCTTAAGACGGTGAAGGTCATGTATGAAATTTCTATTGGACATTGAAAAAACTGAATAATAATATAATAATAATAATAATAATAATAATAATAATAATAATAATAATAATAATAATAATATTTTATTTATCTTAAAATACATCAATTAAATCAATCCGACATAAGTAAGGCATAGGTAAATGAAAGGGTGGCTCAAAGTTCGAGAATTTGTCAATGAGTAACTCATCCTTTCCATTCCAATACGCTCACTCTGGAGAGTTGTGAATAATTGACAAATAAGTAGAATACATAAATAAGTGTTGAAAAAAGTAGAAAATATAATATGAGGATTTTTTTCTTTTTTTTTACATAATCAGTGAATTTCGAAGTCATAACTATGATTGAAAATACGTTCATCACATGAAAGCATCCAGGATTTCAGTTTAAACTTAAATAATAACTTGTGCATTTCATTTTTGAGAGTTTCAGGCAATAGGTTATGGAGACGAGGTGCAATTTAGGCGAAACATTTCTAACCAATATATTTATTTGCTCTAGGTAGACAGGTATTTGTTGCATTTCTAGTATTATTTTTGTGGATTAATGGTTCAATAAATGTTTTCCTTCCTGGTACAAACTGGAGAACCGACTTACAGTATAGTGGCCTGATATCTAAGACTAAAAGATCTGTATATATCTGGTCTGATGCGTGAGTATTTGGTTTATGTTGTATCCTTTTCAGGAATCATTTCCGCATGATATCTAGTAGTGATGAATGTGTTTTTCTAATACCACCCCATCCAATTATTCCGTAATGAAGAAATGATTCGACTTATGCATGATACATTATTTTTAGGCGTGGGAGTTTGAGGAATTTTCTTAACTGATATAGAATTGAAACGACTTCAGAGCATATTTTTCTCGTTGGTTATTGCTTTTGAAAATATTTATATCTATTGGATACTACTGAGAATCAACTGGGTTAATGAATAATAGGGTTTCGTCGTTATTCATGTCATAACTGTTTTCTGGCCTCTCTTAACCAGGACGTTGTCCTTCTTGGCTCCTAGAAGAAAGCACTGCTGTCTGACTTCTCCCAACTATCAAAGTAATGTTCTTCCAGTTACATTTGCCAAACTGTTGGTTGAATTCTGAAATATCCAGAGCTTCATTTCTATGTCGCATCAGGAAGTCTTCATTTATAGTATTTATACCATTGGTTGTTGCAAATTCCAATGTGTTCGATATTGGAGTTGACATAGTTACCAGCATACCAACATGTCGAGGATGACTGATGAGAACTTGAAGACCGAAACAGTAATATCTCGCTATTGTTGACAATGGGTACCAACTGTATTCATTATCGATTTCTCAGCTATAAAATCTAGTTCTGTAAAGACAGGCAGTAGTAACTGAACCTTAGAAGCACCAGCTATTGACAATCACACAAATCGATTGAACATATTCATCTCGAAATTGATACCATTACAAATCAAAAGCAGTACTAATAATTAGCAGTTAGAATTTCAACAACACTATACAGAATTATATTCGAGCAGCTACCTTCTACAATGCTTGCATGTTTTATTTATTGACACCTATATGTATCAATTTTTGACACACTATGTGCCTCAAAGGAAATTATGAATTGAATGCAATCTGTAATTAATATTGGGTGTCAATAACTGATCGGGGCAAAAAATGGTTCAACACTAGGACATCTATTCTGAGCTCATTTCGAAATTGAATCAGAATTCAGAAACCATATTGTGATAGTGACACCCCTTTTTTGTGTTTATTTTTGCAGATATCAGACGAAGCATTAGAATCACTATTTTATGAGGAACAGTAAACACATTATTGAATACAGTTTATTGAGGTTCAGCTACTCCTACGGAGCTACAAGATTTCTTGACCTCACCTTTAAGCAAAACTGCTCAACCATGGAACACAATGTACAAACATTGTTTGTGTGGGCAATTTCTATTTCATCGACATGACTCTATTTCAAGATTGTGGATAGATTATGTAGATGTCACTCTGATTGATAGAAATTTGTAATGGATTTACGGTTTTTTTATTGGAACCTTATTGAAGCAAAAGGTGTCATTAATCAAACTCCAAAATTTCTGGTGTCCTGTTTCTGGTTTTGTCCACTTTGTGTTGTGAGCAGCGTCACCTTGTTAATGTCCTGTTTGTAATGTTTTATATTTCAATCAAACTGAACATTCCCACTGTCTAAATCATTGAAATCTTTCTCTAATTTAATATCCCACACGCATTCAAGGATGACAAAAGCTATGTCATTGCCATCAAAAAAGGGGTGCTAAACTTGCACTAAACCAGAACTATTTGAATGATAATAATATTTTCAACTTGGTGACAACCACCGATTATGTGTTATTTAATCCTTTGCAATTATGAAATGTGTGGTGGAGGGTGCATTCAAAAAAATTATTACATCAGCTGATGTACCAGAACAAGAGAAGCGTCATATTCGTGAAAAAGCGTCATCCTTCCTTTATCAAGCAGAGCTTAAATCTATTCAGTGTTTGGACAATGCAATTCAAAACCCCTTCAATGTCTGTCTCCCTTACCAAATCAAGTGAAGAGAAGCATCACCCTATCATTAAAAAATTGGGCAGCAACTGAAGCCGCAAATCAATTTCTATAATTATTTCAACAAAATACTGGATTTCTATGTATGTATTACATTAGCGTAGGAGTTCATTTGGTTCTTGGTCAGAAAAGCATGTAATCTAATTAAATATCGGGTCTACAAACAATGATAGAAAACCACTCGACAGATTACTAAGAGACCGAGAATACATTCGTATTACTACGTGTTTCATACTTAGTACCTAAGTATGAAACACGTAGTCGTAATCAGTTCCATCAGTCTTATTACAGACTCACAGTTAGTCAAAACTCACACACCTATCAACAAATATAGTTTTATACAACAAATTTCAAGATCTCTTCGGTGAAATAGAAAGTAGAAACAAATATAAAGATGAGCTAACAGCATACTTCTTATACAATGCATTCATTTTATTGTATATTAATGATTTTTTTTAGCAATGTGAAAAATTTTAGAACTGTCATAAATTGTGTCAATTGTGTATACCTACCTGTATTGAATATAATTTATATTTCAATGAATAACTGTTGTACCACTTATTTTAATGGGGAAGACCACTGAGGAAAGAAATCCGTGCAAACCTCTTTCAATCGACGAATCATGATTCACATTTTATGTACAATCAATATTATGAGTTGAAGCTGAAGGGAATCGAATTTATATCGTTTTGAATCAGCATATTTCATTCGATATTTCAAACAGCCAAATATGATAGTGGAGTCGTGACGTATTAGTCCCGAACTGTAGCTATCTCTCTCTGATACCTCGTCATTCTGCAGTGTTGCAGTGTGATTGGTCAGTTCAAGGACGATAGGCGTGTTGGGAATAAGACGTCGCACCAGTCACACCAATGAATTGATGAAATTTCAAATGGCGCAGGAATTGTGTGTTTTGAAATTGATACATACTAATTTATTTGTTTCATCGTCTTAGCATGAATGAAAAAATTCGAAATTAATTCACTGGTAGTTTTTCAGTATAGAGTTCACGATAATGTCGTTTTAAAAAATCAGTGGTCTTCCCCATTGTGTATTTTTTAATTTGGCTTTTCTATATTTTATAGTCATGATCTGTACAGAAGTTTCCAGTGATGAATAAAGAATTTGTATTGTATTTGTAATTACTATTTCTTATACCTACTTTTATGAGATTGCCCCGTTGGTCGGAACTATAGAACCACCATATTTCAGTGAATGACATGTGATATCTCAAATGGAACATGTATTCATACATTCCATAAGAACTGATAAATATAGGTACCAAGAATAGACCATTGTCAATAAATATTGTTATATTAATGAGTTTGTTTGGTCTGGACCACTGCCTAGTGCCTATCAATAACATTCTCAGCATTTTCCAGGATTCAGCGTACACCAGAGAGGCCAAATCGCAGATACTTGAAAACCTCTCTCTATCAACCTTTCTCTATGACTAGACATCCTCGAAAATACATCATAACTATCAAAACTTTCCTCATCAGTCCACAATCTCTCCGCCATTGCTGCTGCTCTGGGCCAAATCCTCGTCTCCAAGGCCGATACATCGACTTGCTCAGACCACAAGCAGGCCTCACCTCCCAGAACTTGCGTCACGTGATCTGCATACTCACTCCAAGGTCTGTACTTGTAAAAAGTCTGCCAAGAGGTGTAAGGGTCGCACACCCCACTGATATCACTAGGTTTCCAAGGACCGAATCCACAGTCTAAGTACCACTTGCCAACCGTGGAAAATATCACTTTGTTGCCGTTTCTTAGGATGGGTTCCAAGCTTCCGAACCAGTACTGAACAACAATGTCTTTCGGATACTTCAAGGACTGAATGTAGTAGTCTGTCAGTGGGCTGGACCAGATAACTAGGTTATTGGGAGGACGGTTATGGTTTGCAGTGATGACAGTTTTGAAAATGTTGTTAGCAAAGTCCACCCAGAAGTCGTTGGTACTATTGAAACCCACGGCGGACTTGGTCTGTCCGTAACAAGTCATATTGACTTCATCACCACCAACATGAAAAGTTTCATTGTCGGTACCAAGAGCCAAAAGGTCTTGGTATATGCTTTGGAGTACGTCCAAAGCTTGTTTGTTATCAGGATTCAAGTGACCGTTGAAGACGTCTTCTTCACCACATATGACGAGTTTCTCTTTGTTTTCTGTAGGATAGTTCCAACCTTCATTAAGGTGACTGGGTGCATCTATTTCGAGGATGGTTCTGATTCCTCTGATCCTAGCAAATTCGATCAGACCTGAAACATGCAATTGTACTAATGAATACAAGTGTAACAAAATGAACAACAGCTATAGGTATGTCATAGTCATCAGTGCAGGGCAGTCATCAGACAGAGATGCAGAGACCTCTGGCTGAAGTGATACCTGATCCAATGAAACCCCATTCGAACATTGATCTACGAATATACGCTGGCCAAAGATAACTTTGGAACAACGACGATAAAAGAAAAACATGAATTAAACTTGGTGAAAAGAGCCATACGAATATGAGTTTTACCTTTGATATCATCCACGGTATAAACCATATCAGGTTGATACGCCCCATACTGCGCGAACTGCGGATTATTTGGCAGCACCACCGGAAAACTGACAGCGTCAGTCAAATGAAGATGGAAGACGTTCAGTTTGGAAGCAGCCATTCCCTCGATCACCCTCAATAGTCGCTCCACGGGAAAGAAGTTTCTCGCGGTATCCACCATTACTCCACGGTGGGGAAACGCAGGCGCGTCTTCTATGAAGATATCGTGGTATATTCTGAGACTATTCAACGAGCTGTCCGACCATATGAGCTGACTAAGCGTTTCTAAAGCATGCCTGGCGCCAAAGTACGTGGGCGCTGTTATGTTTGCGAGCACGTTGGTACGAGTTTGGGTGACTGAGAGGCTGTAGCTCTCATTCGTTGACGGTGACAGTTTGGTTTCGTGGCTGGCTACAGTGATGTCAACGATAACTTCGGAATCGTTTATATTTTTTGCCTTAGTCGTTCCACGTAGAGTAGGTAAATTGTTCATGAAGATGTTGATAGCTTCTCTCAGATATTTTTCTATGGCAATAGGAACGTTTTTTCTCAGAGAAATGTGGTTTTTGTTGAAAGAGGTTGAGATGCCGTTTTTTGTTCGTAATGACTTCGGTTTTGGCCATAGTGATGGTATGGAACACAACATGTTGCATGTTTCTAGAGATATTTGTGGCTCGTTGAGAAATGTTCGTCTTCTTCTCACACATTTCGAGGTTTTGCAATCATATGTCCATCTTGGATCTGGAAAGCTGAAATTAGTGATATTGAAAAAATAGAATAGTATTGAATGAAATAGAATGGGATTCTCATATTCATTCAAGTATGATGAACACTAAAACAGTGAACATTCAACTTCAGCAGATATAATCATTCTCATATATACCCCTCTCGATTCTCTCGAATTGTTTCAGGTCTCTCATAGGAAAACCAAGACCTACCTCTCATTACTTGTGAAGAGAACAGAAGGTTTTTCTAGTGAAATGAACTTGAAAAAAATTGTGCTGAACTTGTAATACATTGTATAAAACTGAGCCCATTATATCATAAGGACTCGATTTTCAACAGCAGTCTATAAATATCATCAATTCGATCCACATCATATAAGCAGGATGTTAAGGTGATTTTAAATAATTTGAAATTAGGAAGGAAAGAAATATTAGACTAGTGAATAAGTTTCAAAACTCACAAATGTGGATTTAATTGGAATTGAAACATAAAATCTGCTCAAAAAGATGAGGATATGGCTGTAACATAAAGACTGAAACATCAAAAATTATTCCCAATCTTTCAGCGCCGAACATCAGTTCTTTGCACACTTTTCAATGACTGACTGACTGACACATGATCTTTTCCACCGAGAGATAAGTCTAGGTCGATCCTATACAGGGTGTAATTCAATTGATGACTAAAAATAGAGGATATGGTTCCTCAGCTCATTATAAGAAGAACAGTTCATAAATGTCTCAACTTTCGATTGTATACACTCAGAGAAATAGTCGGTAGTGAATACCAAAGGTTTAGTAAAATAGGCACCAGTCACTACATTCATCAAATAATACCGGCTGCGAAAATATACTTCGCATACTGATGTGTACAGAACACGAAGTACTTTTTTCGAGTACGATTGCTCGAGAAAGTTCATTTTTGATTGCAGAACTTGAAAAAATATCGGAACATTCTCGTCTCAATGCTTCATTATAGTTAGGCAGAAACAAACTGGAACACCCAGTCGAACAACTATACTGATGTCTGACTGGAAATAATTATTTGTGTATCTACAATGCACAGTGGTAGATTTCTACACAAGAGGAATTACCGTGTGACGTGAAACTTTTTTTATTTTCAGAAACTTTTAATTGATTTGACACAACCCACGCAGCCTCATTGTGTTCTCTAAAAATATATCGAGAACTGAGGAAGAAATATCCAAAGAACAATTTAAAAAAAACTTGGTGTGCTTATAGGACCACAAGTTGGAAGTGATGAATTCTATCTTATGGACAAATCTGAATGATATAAATTTTAACGTATATTTGCGAAAAGTATGAACTAGACTAGAACTTACTACTTCTGATAGAAACACCTCTGTATCTTACGTAATCGTTTGGTGAGGATCCTGAAATTTTCTGGAGCGAGAGATATACCAAAAATGCACTCTATGACCAAGTGGGGTCATCTTCAGTAATATACACTGCTCGCCAATAGCCATAGAACCACCCCAATTTCTGGAAAATGATATTAGGAGTCAAAATAGGTAGAAAATCACTTCCGATTCGGAATCAGGTCGCCCAATTCTCTAACTATTCATATATTTCCTGGAAAATTTTCAGTTCTGAAAAATTGAATTTTTTCGCACTTTTTACGGAAGCACCCCCGTATCTTGCGTAATTGACTTCATCTTTGGACTTTCCCTGCCTCCTGCAACCCTACCTCAATAATTGCGTGAGATACGGGGGTGCTTCCATGAGAAGTGAGACAAAATTCAATTTTTCTGAACTGAAAATTTTCTATGAAAAGTATGAATAGGTAGTTAGGGAATTGGGCGTCCCAATTCCGAATCCGATGTGATTTTCAACCTATTTGGACTCCTATATCACTGAAGATGGTCCCACTTGTTCAAAAAGTGCATTTTTGGTATATCTTTCGCTCCAGCGAATTTCAGGATCCTCACCCAACGATTACGTAAGATACAGGGGTGTTTTCATTAGAAGTGGGTCACACTGTATATTATATATCATATAATTATAATTTTATATCCAATATAATGTATGTGATATTATGAATTATATTTCCCAAGGTACAGGGATAGTAAATATTCACTTAATGTTTTCTTTCTAGATATAATTCCAGTATAAAATTTTTTGACTCAATACCTCACGTGCATGAAATAATTGCGGGATAATTAGTAGCAGTTATCACTTCAAAAATTTTAATTATTCACCTGATTTCGAAATTTTGGCCGGCTTGAAGTTGTTAAATATCCCTGATGAATTTCCATACCCATATAGCGCCCCTGCCGATAACCCGAAGAGAAAACTGATCAACGAACCGATCACCAAGCAACTCAGTAAAACCTTCATCTTCTCGCGCGAACTGACACTACGTCTTCTACCGTGATAAGAGCCAAATGTTTCTCCATCGTCCGAGTTATCTAACAATTTCTCGGTATCGTTGTCCGCGTTCATCATTCATATCACCAGATATCACTGGAAATTTTCGACGGAACAAATATCGATCCTACAACGACACCAACTGATAAGATTACAAAGTGTTTTTTATTTGGTTGTAGTGTAAGATACTGATATTGGTAAAACTGGCTCGCACTGATTGCATAATTTGTATTCCTTTGTTAAAATTAGTGTCGGGTTTTAAATTCCATTGGAAAACTGGTTCGCATACATACATAGTTTAGAAGCTCGTACGAACTCTAATAGGTGGTGCGAAGTCAGTGCAGTTTTGAAAATGGTAGGAACTTGAATATGCATAGCTTTAAAACCAAAATTGAGTGGCAATCTAATCATCATGATCATCAAGTACTGATGAAAAGTTGAAGGTTTCAAGAAAATAAAGGAGATTACTTTCCAGAATGTATTCTTTTGTTGAGTGTTTTGCACTAATTCAATGATGAAGAGGTACCTATCGAAGAAAGTGTTCAAAATTATTTCCATGAAACAAGTAGGTACAGGGTGCGCCTCTTAAAATGGAACCCCCCCTTAACTTTTTTGTTTTCGGAGGTATGAAAAAATGTTGAATGAAAAAGTTGTTTGAAACGACCCAACCTTTCATTTCGTGAAGTTGTTTCATATACAGGGTCAATCGTTTTTCCAGAAAGGACATCAACTTTGATTTTTTCAATGGAACACCCTATATATTTTCCAATATGTCGATAGAGCTTTTTCTTTTGATTCCAAAAATATATATGAGTTGCATAGCTCCATAGGCTAGCTTTCAGATCCCCTGTGTATCTTTGGGCTCCTGGTTTTTCCTCACCCAGCGTAAGGAACGTTAGTCTTAACAAGCCCTCGCAGTGGCAAAGTATGCGTACTGCTGTTTCCTCCTCCTCCTGACAGAACCTGCACAGCAGTTCTTCAGTCAGACCTATCGTACTCATGTGTTTGTTGAGCCTACAATGCCCTGTGAGAAGTCCCACTAGTATTCTAGTTGCACTTCGTTTCTGGCTCAGTAGATATTCTGTGAATGTTGGCGATGTTTCTTTAATAAACTCTTTTGCCTGTCTCATTCCTGGCGAGTTGTTCCACCATTCTTGATATTTGGTTTGCATCCATGATTTGATACTTGTCTTTTGTATAGCTTCTGCAATACCACAGAAGGGTTCTGGGCCATTCAGAGCTTTGTTTGCTCCTGCTCGGGCAAGTGAGTCTGCCTCTTCATTGCCCTCGTACCCTGTATGTGCTGGTACCCATGCTAGAGTCAGTCTGTTCTGACTGCCCAGTTCATTCAGGGTTTCTAAGCAGTCCCATAGTAGTTTTGAGTTAACTTGCATAGAGTTGACTACTTTGATTGCCGCCTGGCTATCTGAATAGATTGCAATGGTTTTGCCTTTAAACTCTTGCCTTATCAATTCTTTCATGCAATGATGTACCTATTGCAATAATTCCTGCCTGAAACACCGTTGCGTATTTACCTAAGCTCAGTGAGATTCTTGTCTTTGGCTTGGCCCCATAAATACCAGCTCCTGATCCTTTCTCAGTTCTAGGCATTGGTGGTTACTTCACTAATTTATTTTAGTTCATTCTTTTGGTTGCAGGAAAAATAGCATGTTCCATTCGGATCAAAAGTGACTTTGTTTGACTCGCAAATTTTGCTTTCGCACGGCACGCAAATGCAAAATTCGCTTGTCAAACAAAGTGTCACTTTCGATCCGAATGAAACAGTGTACTGTTATAAAGTCTTCACTATAAAAATTGTTGCTCTTAGGGTGTATCGAATCAGAACATCAAACCACAGCTCCTATGTTTACAGAGAAAAAAGTTGCAACGCCTCAGGCGCGAATTATACAAAACAGGGGATGAAATATAAGGAACGTCAGTTGGATTATGTTGCCATTCAACAGTCACTCACTCTACGGAGATAATCCCAAACTAAACTGAGCACTTAGCCCTAACCCCTGGCTCATTGTAAGCCATACTTTGAATCGTTTTTTGCTTGGGGCAGAGGGAGAGAAAACTATTCGCAATACTAATACTGGGCAGTATAAATTCTTCAAATTATTCACGAAGAAAATGTTTTCATCGAACACACGGAAGGAGAAAATTCAAATGTGCATTTTCAAATTCAGTTTCATTTTCAAAAGCCAAAGATGACATTTCACATTTGAAAATTCATTTCAATGTCATTTTTAGTATCCAATCTCATTTCGATTTACATGTAATCAACATGTTATGTAAGAACAATTTGAAACGGCAAGTTATGGATATTAAAACTTCTCCACCACTAGCTATAGATCCTACCATTGTCTACTCCTTCTCAAGGCATTAAGTGTAATTTTTCTACCAAGGTACTTTTCATCATTTCATGAACAACTAGTCAATGAATACGTAGCTACCTCTGTGACAGGATATAATCAACACGAATCAACTGTTCTGATGCGAGATTCGCAGGAATGGCACTCGAATCTATAGTACTTAGGTATATTTATCAATAAGCCACGGGATATGATCTTCGTCTCTAGGTGATAATAATATTCTTTACTACCTTAATGGCATGTAAATAACTATTTTCTTATTATTATTCAGTAGTCTAACCATAACGAATGATATACCACGGTACATTATAGGAATTTTCTTTCGTTCGATCCAAGAGATAAAAAATGACCTACCAAGATGGTTTCATTAGAAATTAGATCATGCTTTGTCCCAAAGAACCACTTCTTTATTCATCATTATACATTATTATACTAAGGGGTGACTTGGGCAGGCGCGTTTCTGTCGAACCAATTTCTACCACTAATCCTTTTTTGAAAGTTTCTGAAAAATTTATGTCAACTGTTCAAATTTGATATTGAAAACAATGTGAATGATCAAATTGACCATATTTTGAAGGATTTGACATTTTGTATTGTGAGGTTATCAGTTAGTGGAGATACTCAATTTGACAGTAATTGCTACCAACGACTAGCACAAAATGTTTGACCTTATCCAAGTAGAATATGGTTACTTCACTTCAATAATTTGAGATAAGGAGCTATATAACTCGAGATGGATGTCAGAGCACACATTTTTATTTATGATGAAGAGTTAAAATGTAATGCATCAAGGTATCAATATTTAACAATGATAATAATAATAATAATGGTCTTCATTAATCAATTACAAATTACAAACTAAAAATTGCATCAAGATTGAGAGTGTTTGATAATGCATTGATGAAGGGCGAAGTTCAGCTTAGGCTGTTTTTCAACTTAACCCGGTAGAAGACCATTTCTATTACTCAGAATATATTCCTAAACAGATCAATTCAATATTAGAACAAATAATAGTGAAAATAATAATAGTTACAAGAAAATAATGAATATAAGTTGAATATTAAAAATAATGATACCAATAATAATAGCAGTGATAATAATGAAATATTCATAATGTAAATATAAAATAATGAAAATAATAATGATAATAATTATAATAACAATGAGAGTTTTCAATGAATTTGAATTAATAATAATAGCGATAATGAGGATAATAGCAATGATAAGAATAGAAGTCATGTACCAGTTCATTTGCCTGTCCAAGAATATCTCAATTCACATCCTGCTCAATAGTAATTGTTTTAGGCGTTTCTTAAGATTCAGTATCGTGTAGGACCTAATTTCCACGGATAATTGGTTATATTCAGTGCAAGCCTTGTATGAAAAAGACCTCTCGAATAGCTCTGTATTATGCCTGGGTATCACTAAGGTAAGTCTATTGCGTGTAGGAATTTGATTTATATCTGAAAATGTTTGCAGTTCGTTAAATAAATACTCAGGTTGCTGGAGATACATAATTTTGTGAACAAGTTTCAATAAATGTAATAAGCGATAGTTCTCAAGACTCAACCAGCCTGAATTCTTCAGTTTATGAGTGACGTGGTCAAATTTTATGATTCCATAAGCGAAGCGTAAACAACTATTTTGAATTTTTTGCAAACGTAAGGAATCAGATTGAAGTATCGCAGGCCCATAAACTGAGTCGCAGTAGAATATTTTAGAAAAGATTAGCGATTCGCAAAGTTGTAGTTTGTTTAGTGGATAGTAAGTCGCGGTTAGGATAGAGTTGTCTCAGTGTACTGTAAGAAGATTGGATCAAAGTAGAGACATGCCCATTGAATCGTAGTTCTGAGTCTAGCCATAGGCCTAAGTTTTTTGAAACATTTTGGAAATCAAGGTATGTGTCTCCTACTTTGATACGAATTTGATTTGGAACGGTTTGTCTATAGATTTAAGTCTACCGAATAATACTGCTGTCGATTTGTTGGCGTTTAATTTGAGGTTGTGGACTGTGGAGATATTGAGGAGGGCTTCGAGGTCATCATTGATCAAATTTTCAAAGGTGTCTATAGAATCGACATCAAAAGGAAGATACAGCTGCGTATCATCGGCGTAATGATGTATGGTACAATTACGAGTGAATGTGTGGAAATCGGATATACACTCACCGGCACAAAATTCCGCCACCCTGAAATTTTGTCCAAGTTTGAAGTTTTATAACTTATTCATTTTTTATCCGATTTCCATGATTTTGTTATCAGTTTGTAGATCCATTTATCATGTTTTTCCTCAATCATTTTATAAAGTATCATTTATCGATTAGGCTATATTATACAGGAGGAAATCAAAATGTTGTTTTTTGTCGTAATTTCAAAACACCCTGTAGGGAAACTGAGATGGATAATTTTGTTTACATACTGTTTCTTGTAATCTCTGATGTATTCTAAACATTTATTTTTTTGATTCATTCCATTATCTCATTTGTGCTGAGAGTTGCAAAATTTTAAATGAAACGCTGATTTGAAGCCTATTTTTATTAAGAAAAAGAAACACCAGGTATATCATGAAGTTAATCAACAAAAACAATTCAATAACGTGTATTTCCTCCTCTCGCAGCAATGACAGCTTGCAGTCTTCGCGGCATCGAATGAATAAGGTCACTTATTCTTTCTTGAGGAATAGCTTCATATTCTTCGGTCAGCG